TTTCAGGCTATACATAAACAAACGAATGAAGCAAAAAAAACAAGCAACAAAACAATTAAATCAGATCAAATTCAAACAACCAAGTCAGATACAAATGGGGATTTTCGAGCCACAAAATCAAAGAGTTTTCCAAGAAAACAATCAAACTCCCAAAAATAAAGGATGAAATAGAACAAATATTTCAGAAAAAAAAAAACCCATGTAGAACAACCCACGTCTGATTAATACAGAGATTTTCTTAAAATCCAAAAAAAAAATATGATTTGATATGCTTTAAAAAAATCCCTAATCAATATAGATTCCTAATCAGTAAAACCAAAACCAAAAAAAAATCAATTTTTTTCTAAAACAAAGCTTTAATCAGTATAAAATTTTTGAAAAAATCGAAACCTCTTCACTACAAATTTTTTTTTTTTGTTTGAGTGAACACTGCAGATTTCTCAAAAACCCATTTGTATTCTAAAACCATTTGCATTGTGAGCCATAACCATTCGTATTCAACTTATGGAGTGTACAACAGTAAAACAAAAAAGGAAAAAAAAAACTTATTTGTTTGAAGAAACCCTAGTTTTTCCTAAGAAAATCCTAATCAAATTGTGTACCTTTCACACCTGGAGGAGAACAAACTCTATAGGAAGCCGGAGTTGATCTTCAAATGGCCCAAAACTTTCTTCATCTGGAAGAGAGCGAACGATGTAATATGAACTTACTCTCAAGGCGCTATAGACACTAGGAAACGACTAAAAGGCGAGAATGATTATATACTCAGCCTTAGGGGCATTAAAAGACCAGTTCCGTTGCATCCGTCAGTTAGTCGTCAACCTTAGGGGTCTAGGTGTAATATATCAAACCTCAGGGGGTCTTGAAGATTAAGTGACAAACCTCAAGGGGTCTCATTGTAATTTACCCTAAAAATATTGTTTTAAATGCATAAGAGCTCTCGCTTAAAGACCTCCATATTTTTCTTATTCAGTTGTTGGTTCTTCTTGTTAAGTGTTTTCTGATTCTCAAGAATTTAATGTCTGTTGCTTTGAGATCATTTCATCTGACGAACAACAATAACATTCAGTTGCACCTTATTCATCGGTAGCTTCTCACGGTCGATTCCTCCAATCACATAGCGGTCTTGAATTGATTTTTTGTTTTGATTCTTCATATTCTCTCATGTCCTTAATTTTATTGATTATTTACCGTCGTCATATAATAATTTTGGTAATTGTATCACAGATTATTTATGAATTGAAAGTTGGAGGTGTGGTTGAGAGACACTAGGAGAAACTTGACTTGAGTGAATCAAGTAGAATTTCCTTTTGGCACCTTCTTTTTTTTTTCAACATATACGAACAACAATCCATAGTTGTTTATTGAAGGTAAACCACATTTTTGGGGAATCAAAACAAGGGTCTGAACATTGCCCTCTATTTGAGTGGTGTGAATTAGGAAAAAGAAAGAGTATGAGAATTTATAGGTCTTTTGTTTGATTTCTACGTTATGAGAAGACTGAAGAATTCAACTATGCAATAATTTAAGTCATGCAACCCATTTGTTATTGATTCATCTTTGATAGCCATTGAAAAAAAATAATTATGTAAGAAGTTACGTATTGTAATTTGAGAGGTTGAATTTTTGTAAATTACAAGTTAAGGTTTTTGCTCGGTTTGCTGTTATCTTTCTTCCATTTGCTTTAGGAATAGAGTTTCCTTTGAAAATGGTTCATTGACTAACTACTTAACTATTTTCTTGTTCAGAAACTTCTCTAGAGGCTTCCATTTCCCTAATTTGTCAAGTTGTTGATCCTGTTGTTGTTCTTGGAGAACTACTTGAAATAGTGGCATAACTTCTGTGGTACAAGTCTATTAATTGAACTTCTTTATTTGAAATTGGTGCTAAGTTTTACAATCTTCTAATGGGCACATACATTGGATCAACAAAGTTGTGGGATGGTGTATTTCTCGGTTGCTACTCTCAATGTTGTCAACAACAGTGCTAAATTTTATGAACACTTCCTAATACTATGTCTCTTTATATTAGGGCTACCACATTTTGGTACAATGATCATGTTTTGCTCATTTTATTTCAATGGGTGATTGAGCAGAATATTAACTATGCTCTTCATGGTCAAAGTGATAATTGCGACTTCTATTTTTTATGTAATACTTTTACACATTCATCTCAGGTATACATTTGTCATATGCATTTAACCATATGCATCACACCATGTTAGCACAACTATTTTGATCAAGTTAATTATTGTTATTTTTTTTGTTGTAGGATTCTAAGAGTAAATATGAATTTGTCATAATGCACCGGTCTACGATTCTCTTCAAAACGTTGTAATAAAAAGTAGGAGCAACCTACATTCAATCAAGGTATAAAGACTTCTATACGAATATCCATACGGGCTCAACTTCTAAGACTTTCATTCATTTGCAAGTAAATAGAACCATAAGTTTTGTTTTAGGGCCACTAAAGTCAACTCATTTTGCAAAATTTTGCTTCTAAGGGTCTAGCCTTTGGGTTGCTTAGCAGGTTGTGGTATAACTGTGTGAGTATTTATATTTTCTAAGTTATTGCTTGATAGTTATTTTCATAAAATTTGCTATTAATTTGTAATAAATATTGTTTAAGGCCTTTACGAGATACTATCCCTCGCAAACTTTTAGAATTTTGTAATAAATATTCTCATATAGTTTTCAACCTAATGATAATTGAGTTCACTAGACGAATTATTGTCCCCTCTCAACTCCTTACACCAAATGAAAGACTCATATTTTCTATATCATAGTTTATTATTATTTACTTGTAGTATTGCAAATTAATAGACAAATTAGTTGTCTTTTGTCAATTAGAGATCTTAGTCAGAATTTTGTAATATCTATTGCTTGAGTACTAGGGAAAATTTCATAGTCCAATGAATATACATAAAATCTAGCAGTTTTAAAGTTGTTGATAGATGCGGTTGTAGAATGTGATTGATGTTCATATGATCTTTTAAACAATGACAAAACAAGGTTAATGCCTCTGTGTAGGGAGTCTAATAAAATTGGTAGTCAATTGACGAATTAATCCTATTACATGTAGATGATATGAATGGATTGTGTTAGTTTGTATAATTAATGACTTTTGTTGAATAGTGACTATAAGCAGTACTTGATGACATGAAAATTATGGTTCAAGTACGGTAAATTTTTTTTTAATAAATCTAGCAATTCAAAATAAAATTGACCTATGTCATCAACAACATGCATAGTTGACTTATAATCCTTTTTTTCTTTTGAAAAAGAAAAATGCAGACAAATGACATTTAGTAGTTTATTATTTTTGGGTCATGTTTTGAAATGCAAAATACACTAAACAACATTTTTTTTAAACCCTTCTTACAAACATGTTTATGGACATAGTTTTCTAAGACCATAATCAAGTGTCGAGCAACACTTTGTCGGACAAATAAAACATAAACAAAGATTATAATTCACAACTATTCACGTATAATACACGTGTGTAACAACTAGTAATAATAAAGAGTAAAAATATCCTTTTTATACAATAATTATGTTATTACTTAATAAACAGTTACAAATAATTAATATTTTATTTCTATAATACTAATTAATCATGTTGATTGTGTTAATTTGGTATTATTCGTGTTATCATACAAATGAGAAATTAGAAAAAATGTTAATTCTTAAATAAACGAGTTGATCGTGTTAATTTCAAATTTGATAAGTTAAACTCGAATATGACCCATTTATTTTTTGTGTTTACATGTCGAATCATTTTTAAATTCGTATCGAATTCAAAACGTATGGTTACGTTAAATCAAAAATTGCCACCATATAGATTGGTCGTGAGACCAAAGTTGTTTATTCTGATAGGGTCCGTTGAGAAATCGAAAGTCAACATGGGCAAACTGGTAGGTGGGGACGCAACAAGGGTTGGACTCAAACGTCATTACTAGAAACGTGTGGCAAGGATGCATCAGTCAGCATGGGTGGGAAGATTAACCTCACCGAGGCCGACATCTACTCTCTCCCTCAGAACATAAACGTACATACTAGTCAAAATAGAAACCCTTTTCCTATGTAGACCATAAAAAAAAAAAAAAAAAAGAAAATTGCCTTTCTTTATCTCCGGGGGTAAGCAATCAAGGGTTGTTTTTTTCTCGATTCGAAATCGAGTAAGATCACATACATAGCATTAGGTTAGTGGTTTATTTTCGCAGAACAAAAAGATATTGAAATTGCTTCTTTCTTTCTGATGCGATGAATTTGTAAGCCGCGTGCGTTATACATACAGTTGTATATATATAAATAAGCTGTTCAGCTGAAGCACTCGTAGCCCCCAAATGGCATTAGTCGATTCAAACAATCCGATGATATGAAGTGGAGGACGTGCGCCACCATCCGTTAACGTTCTCATCATCGTCGTCCTCAAACCTCAGATTTCAGAACCAATCAACCTACCTTTGACTCTCTATTTCTCTCATCATACCACCCGGTACTAGATTCTCACTTTTCAACACTACTTTTCTCTCCCTCTCTCGTATATTTATACATATACATATATGGTGTTTGTATATGCATAGATTTATATGGATCGCTTCACGCACCCACATACATATATGCATCGCACATTAACTACCAATTTCATTGTGTTTGGTTCATTTTTCAATTATTTTTTTTTTGGAGATTTGCAATATTTTCTCAGATTTCTATGGTGATTTCTAAACCGTACTCAAGACTCGTGCGATTATTGTTCCGATCGGATCCAAGTACCTGAAGAATCACTTTTAGCTCTGATTTTGTCGTTCTCCTCCAAAAAATGAATTAAAATTTGCAATAAATAGTCTCTTTTCTCTTAAAAAGTTCTCTAAGTATGGTGTTGAGACTTATATCTGCTTGGAATGAAATGTTTCAGTGTAATTGATGAGGAAAATCAGTGGATGAGGACGGACCAATGAAAGTATAGTTGAGTTCGAGGGTGGGATTTGTGATTGTTTCATGGGCAATACATGCCGTGGATCTTTCGGAGTCAAAAATTTTCAGGGCTACAGTCAGCCCGAGGATCATTCCAGCTCCAAGCCTAACCCTTCTTCTGCCAACCATTCTAATTCCTCCGATTACTCCCCAACCAGCTTGAACTCTCAACAACTAGTCGCCCAAGAATTTTCTAAGGACAACCCCAACAAGGACCAGAACTTACTCAACCTTAGCCCAAGAAAAGAGGTCATCATGAGTCGGACTGGTGTTAACCAAGCGTATTATGTATTGGGTCATAAGACAGCTAACATTCGAGATCTTTACACATTGGGCCGCAAATTAGGGCAAGGCCAATTTGGTACTACTTATTTATGTACTGAGTTGTCCACGGGCAATGAGTATGCATGTAAATCTATTTCCAAGAGGAAGCTGATTTCCAAAGAGGATGTGGAGGATGTTAGGAGGGAGATTCAGATAATGCACCATTTGTCGGGTCACAAAAATATTGTGACCATTAAGGGAGCTTACGAGGACACTCTATATGTCCACATTGTGATGGAACTTTGTGCTGGGGGCGAATTGTTTGATCGGATCATTCAGAGAGGACACTACACTGAGAGAAAGGCAGCTGAATTGACCAAGATTATTGCAGGGGTTGTTGAGTCGTGTCATTCACTTGGAGTTATGCATAGAGATCTAAAGCCCGAGAATTTCTTGTTGGTTAACAAGGATGATGATTTCTCTCTCAAAGCCATTGATTTTGGACTCTCGGTTTTCTTCAAGCCAGGTAAGTAACAAACGAAGGTTGATGTTTTTGGATTTATTTAAACATAATATCTCAATTAATTAGAAGCATTTTAACTAACAAGCACTCACTATTCTTGGTTGTGCATTGCCAGTATTTTTCAAATGTTTTTGTGCGGCTTAATTCCTACATGCTTTATTGTTGGGTATATTTATTGATTATAGACTTTGGATGTGTTGGGTGGTGTGTGCTTGTTGGATGGCTAACAGCACATGATGCATTTTAATGCACAAGATGTCAAGACCTGACTGCTTCTTCCATTTAATTTAATTCTTCTACTTAATCACTTGATCAAGATTGTGGTTTTGTAGCTTCTAGTTTTTGGATGTTGGGTAATGGATAATCAATATTTCTTTTTACTTCCTATGTGCCTTGCGATTTCAGGTCAGGTTTTCACTGATGTGGTTGGGAGTCCATATTATGTGGCTCCTGAGGTACTTTTGAAGCATTATGGCCCTGAAGCAGATGTTTGGACAGCTGGTGTAATACTGTATATACTTCTAAGTGGTGTACCACCCTTTTGGGCTGGTATGTCTTATACCAGACTAGCACCTTTGTTGAATTTCATTTTTAGTATTCATTGTACTGAAATCTATTCTACTGTGGTTCAGAAACGCAACAGGGGATTTTCGATGCAGTTTTAAAGGGATACATTGACTTTGACTCAGACCCTTGGCCTCTGATATCCAACAGTGCAAAGGATCTCATCCGGCAAATGTTATGCTCTCAACCTTCAGAACGATTAACTGCCCATCAAGTACTGTGTATGTTTTCCTTTCTTGGCGATCATAATTCATAGCCAATATTTTCGACTCTCTAATTCATGACCAATTCTTTACTTCTCTATTTTTGAGTTTTATTTTATCCAAGGCACCAACCCCCACTTGTAATCTTGCTTTTATTACTGCCTTATGTATTGTCTAACCCCGCATTTATCACTATCACATGGATGCATAGTGGGCATTAGTATGATTGGGTTAACGGCTGAATGAATACCCAGGGGAACCACAATATGGGTTTTCCCGCTGATTGTGTTGTCCAGGACTAGGCGCAATAAATAACAGGTCCATCTAGGAACTATCAATGCTTTAATTTGAGCCATCCAACTTGTCTGCATAAAAATGCATTACAGAATGCATTCTCAACTTTGTACCAACAACAATGTCAAGTGCTGTTTTTATTTTGTTTTGTTTTATTTTATTTTGGGGTTGGGGTGAGGAAAGGAAGGGATAAATGTCATGTGTCAAGATGCTGACTGTCAATTCAGAAGGTTTTCTACTGATGCATAGCTACAAATTACCACTGTGACCTCAGGCACAGACTATGTTTTTTGGGTTGTTTGGCCTTAAATCCACAGAAGTACAATTTTGTACTTATTGTTCTTTCTAAAATCTTTTGCTATTTGTGGAAATTAAGTACGTGGAGAAATTTCTACTTAAGTGGGTGGAATGATTTCATCTGTGGTATGGTTTTGTCATACCAATTTTGGCTTCTTCTTTTTTTCAAAAAAAAAAATTTTTAAGTAAGATCATTATTGGATTGAGTTATATAGTTTTTAAGTAAATATTCTATAGGTCATCCTTGGATTTGCGAAAATGGAGTTGCTCCTGATAAAGCCCTGGATCCAGCTGTACTGTCTCGTCTCAAACAGTTTTCTGCGATGAACAAGTTAAAGAAGATGGCTTTGCGGGTATGTAGATGATCTGCATGTAAGCATTTGTTTGTGTCCGACACCATTTTGGGTGTTTGAAAGTGTTTGCTAATTTTTCTTATGCATTAAAGAGAATGCATCACTCTTCAGTTGAGGAGCCTTTTAAAAGTAATAATTCCAATTTTTTACTCAGCCTGGATCTTATAGTCCCACAATTTGAGACCAATATGTATAATGATCAATTATAAACTTGGATATCTAGATTTTGGGTTGCCGGTGTTGTGGCACTGAAGGATCATACATTATGTGACACCATGTTTGCATCCAAAGAACATCACAAGGTCTTGTAAGTTAGTGAGACTTTAATTCGGTGCATGTTGAGGTGTATTTTTTTCTGGCCATTCTTTATGCATCCAGTATAGACCTTATCCAGTGCATCACTATGCACAGTATAGTTGCAATCTGTTCATTTTTTATGCATCCAATATAGACCCCAATGCAGTGCAGTATTATGCTTCCTAGTGATTTAAATGATTTGTTTCCGTACAATTATTTTGTTTTACTCACAATAGAGAAACTTCTTTTTAGCAACATTCAAATTGTTTTTCGTGTACAAGGCTGACACTGTAGAGAGTGGTCACTGGATAATTCATCCCTTAATTTGAAAAATAGCGTTGGTTTATCATTTTTATCTGACACCTAGTGTGATGTGTTCCTTCATATTTTTTGAGCATATAAAATGCCAAAAAATCATAATAACGTTTAAGACTCGAATACATATGTATATGTGCATACATTTGTGTATGTGTATCCCTGTTTACATTTGGTTTTTTTATTGTATTTGTGATATAAGATGAAGAATACAAGAGAGGACAAGAAGATAATGGGTTTTATGCTTAGATTTTCCTTTTTCTGTTTCATGTTTACTATTAGTCTTATTTTTGTTGTAACTTAGATCAGCGCCCTCTAAGATCTACTAAAACCACATGGGACCCCACAATGTTCTGAGAAATAACACCAGAACCTTTGAGGTTTGGTGCAAATAAACATCAATGTTCCCTCCACCACACATTCAGGACCATAAGCAGAAGATTGATTTCAACAAAATATATGCTATAAATTTCAATTTTTATTTTCAGAAAGTCTAAATTAGATAAAAAAAAAATACCACAAGATCATATATTCCAATTTTGCCTCTATTTAGTTACAAATGCATACTTGGTCCAAAAAAGTTAACGTTGTGTGCCAATTTGTTAACCCTGAAGCATGAATCACCGAGTGAACTCAAAGAAAATCTTAGTCTTTGAGAAATATTTATACAAAGTTGCTGCGATTATATGACCAAGCAACACCCTCCACCATTGTTGGAGCCACTCACAACCACTATTTTTTTTTTTTGGATAAAAAACAATAATTTTAGGGCTCGTTTGGTAACGTTTACGGTTTTTGATTTTCTAAAAAACGAAAAACGTCTTTTTTTTCGTTTTTGAAAATCGCCACTCGTTTACAAAATGATGACAGAAAAAAAAAACACGGTTATCAAACGAGTTTTTTTTTCTTGTTTTCTCTAAATATCAAAATAAAAACGAAAAACATAAACGTTATCAAACGAGACCTTATTAATGTAAGATAAAAATATAGAGTAGAATGGTAATACGGACAAGGCGCGTCCATACATACCCCACAAAACAGCAGCACTACAGAAAGAAACAATCAAGAAAAAAACAAAACAGTTCATTCATAAGCTGAATGCCAACTTGCCACAATACCAAAGAGAGGAACTGGAGTAAAATCCTTTGAAATAGATGCCTAAAAAGATGCCAAGAAGTAGATATGGTTCTATACACCATCAATTCCCTCGTCCTTATTTTCAAACATTCTTGCATTCCTCTCTAACCAAATCAATTAAAAAATAGCAAAAGTTGCACAATCAGAATGGGTAACTCATTTATTTCATCTTCCAAAATCTAAATAGTCCACACAAAACATTGATGATATAAAACCTAGAGCTACCCATGAAATCCCGGCCAACTTAAACAACTTATAACCATTCACAACCACTATTATAACCATGATAACCATATATTGCCACACTAGAATTTTTTCGAGTATGTCCTTGAATTCAGTCGAGATGTAAGTACAACCCAAATTGGAGAAGAATATGGTCCTTGGGTTCCTTTTATTGGAACTATGTTTCTATTTATTTTTGTTTCTAATTGGTCAGGAGTTCTTTTACCTTGGAAAATCATACAATTACCTCATAGGGAATTAGCCGCACCCACCCACAAATGACATAAATACTACTGTTGTTTTGGCTTTACTCACTTCAATGACATTTCTATGCGGGTCTTAGCAAAAATTTGTAATTTGAAAGGCTTGTTCCTAAAGATCCCAACGAATTCCTAATTGGAATTGGGGGGATCTTTTTGAATTGATTCTTGGGCAAAATCCAGTTTACCCCCTTGTAGTTTGTGCCTTGAGCAGATGACCCCCCTATCATTTGGAAATATGCACATAACCCCCTGTGGTTATGGACTAAACTGCAACTCTCACTCCGTTAAACGGTGATTGCAAAAGTACTATAATACCCTTAAATATATATGTGGTTTGCCCAAGAGCCTCAGTCCTAAATGTCGTCTACTCAGCAACAAACGAAGTCTCTCTCTTCTCTCTCTCTCCCAGCTCTTGAACCCACGAAATTTTAGGGCTTTGATTTCCTTATGAATCGAAATTAGGGCTTCGATTTCTTGATGATTTGAAGTTAGGGCTTCAAATCAAAATTCATGCATGCTATCAGATAGGGAAAAGATACACACGGAGAATGCCACCCATATGTTAGTGTTAAAAAAAATACACAGATTAGAAAAGTTTCAGTTGAAGTTTTGCAGTTATGATGGTATGAAATGGAAGTCTGAACTCCCAAGCAAAAAAATTCCCTTTCCAAACAACCATGAACATAGGTCCATAAATTCAAAAGGAAAAGGAACAAAGACATGTGCCATGTCCAAATAGAGAGAATGCATTCGAGAACTTGCCTTGTAACTGTCCTCTTCTCCCCGCAGCTCTCAAATCATTTACTAACATAACAATTTTTGAAACTACTGAGTTCTTCGTATAGTTTCAATCCATCAACTACATTAACCTATAAAGAAAGCTGGGGCTGATTAGAGGTAGAAATTTGAAAACAAAAGCCTAAAATTAGTAGCTTGTTTCAACTTAATTTTCAACACAAATGCCCCCCAACAAAAAAATAATATTACCGTTTTTCCATCAAATATCTCGGTGCCAACAAAAGTTTTTGGAATAACTGTCAGATTCTGCTTCTGATGCGGACTTTGTATGGACTGGGAATCATTCTGCTGATGCATATTACAAGAATCTTAGAAAGAAAGGAATAAAATAATTAGCAATTTCAAAAGAGAAAAATAAGAATTAGCAATTTCATATTAAGTGCAAATACAATTCCAAACAGCAGCGAAGAGAGAGATATAGGATGGACAAATGCTTTTACAACTTCCCTGTAAACAAAATACATGAATTTTAAAAGTTATACTGCTCAGAACTATTGTTACAACCATGAGTCAAGGCAAGATATAAACAACCACCAAATGCTGCATAGTATTAGTTAAAAGGAGATTTAACAAGCATTCTAAAAGGTACAACCACCTGTTTTGTTACGAAAACATAGAAAGAACAGCTCACATCCAACGAGATCGAAAGAGAGACAGAAAAGATAAGAACAAAAAAAAGAACACAGAGCAAAGAACTACCTCTTGAGTTTGAGGTGCATGCATCATCTACATGCTTTGCCTCACATTCTGAATCACCAGCAATCATTACTTCTTAGTTTTCCGAACTCTTGACACAGCTCTCTATTTGAGGTTTTGCAAGCACATCTGCTACAACATCAAATACTAACAGTTTCTCAAATACAAGGGAAAATGCAAAATTGAAAAAGAGCTAGACTCTAATTTTAATGGGGGGCAAAACATGAATAAATTATTTACCAACTAATATGTAAATTTCTAAATATAAGCAAGAGAAATATATTATGATTTATAAATAAATTACTAGATAAAAATGAAATTGATAACAAGCATATATTAACAGAGCATCATGCTTTGAACTTTTCAAAAGAGTCTGTAATTGATTCTATGCGAAATTGTTTTGCAATTTCCTTTTAATTTATGCAATCAAAAAATGAAAACTCATGCATGCTATCAAACCCCCTTAGCATTGGAGGGTCATTTTGGACATTTGACTATATTTATTTTGGAGGGAAGCTGATTTCTTCTTTTTTCAATCGCCAAATCAGCGCGTCTACTGCACTGCCGTTTTTTCTAACGAAAAACGTGAGAGTTGCAGTTTAGTCTATAACTATAGGGGGGTGATGTGCATATTTCCAAATGATAGGGGGGTCATCTGCTAAGGCACAAACTACGAGGGGATAAACTAGATTTTGTCCTTGATTCTTTTATCACATTGTGATATTTTACATCGTTGAATGGACCCATTTGAGAACAATTAGATGATGACAAAATTATCAAGGATTGACATTCCTTATTTTTATTCAATACCGTATCAATCACCACTAGTTCTCTCCTTCGCAAAACATAGAGACTTGACGCTACCATTATTTCCTTGCTTTCACAATACACCAACTACAATCATAACCACTCACTATTTATACAGCAACCTTTATCATTTTCCCAAAGATTTTTGTCATCATAGCATCATCACCCCCACCCCATTGTTTCCCACCAAAGCTATCACTACCTTAATGCGACCCACTGCAATACTACTTCTCACAATATTCCACTCACAAATTCAACTTGGCCATTAAAAATTCATTCCCTCTTTAAAGCCCTCTCTAGTCACATACCTGCTAATTATTTCATAGCTTCGCATTAATTCACCAAACTTCTTTAATATCTCTAGAATTATTATCACTTACATAACAAATCACCCCCCTAGCAATCTAAGGTAGTAATCCTATTAGCATACAATATGTTATCCACTGTCGTACCTATGCATTACCGACAAGCATACCAGTGCATCGCCTCACCCTATCAATGTCATCAATAAGGGGGTTATACGTAAGGGATCTAGGTAACGGGTTTGGTTGGCTTGATTTGGATGGTGGAGAGGGAGGTGAAATTGAGAGCAAAAAGGATGGTTGGTGGTTGGCTTTGAGGTGATGGTGGTTAATCGACTTCATTAGTGTTGGTCAATCATTTATTATATCAAATGGTGATGGTGGAGATGGTGGAGAGAGGTGAAACTAAGAGAGAACAAAAATGATAGTTGGCGGTTGGCTTTGAGGTGGTGATGGTGGTTAATCGACTGCATTAGTGTTGACCATTCATTTATTATATCAAAAGGTCCTCCAGCCGTTTCTGTGATTTGGGAGGGGGTGCATTTTTTTTTTGTAACATTGGAGGGTGTTCGTTGGGATACGCCAACACTTGTCCAGGCTTGCATATCAATGTCCAACACATTTGTACACGGACATACATCGATCACGTGAAGAAGTGTATATTTTTTTTATTGTTTTTGCAGTGTGAACATGTTGAAAAATGTTGGGGACACATTCATGATATGCTAGAGGCAACTTTTATTTTCCCTTTAAGAAAAATGGATGTCAAATACGAAACATAGAAGGCCTTGTAGTTTTATGTAGAAAGAGATAAATACTACAAAAAAGAGGTGGGAAGAAGTTAGCCCTTTAGCAAGATGTCAAGAAAGAGAAAAACAAATAAGAAGAGCAAAACCAAAAGACAGAAACGGTAACCACTATCGTCTTCAAAGGAACTCTAGTGATGTCCTTATTTCTCTCGTTAAAGGTTTTTTTTTTATATGACTTCCTTGTGTTGATCTTATAATAGCATTTTGAAATTGAGTAGTGCTTGAAACAATAAACAACATACTCGATATTTTGAGCTCCATTACTATTTGAGTGTTTTATAGGAATATTTATAATAAGGTGTTCTCTCCTTTTTCCGTTTTTTTTTTTTTTTAAGAATTGTTGTTTTGCCTTTGCCGTGTGGTATACAGGTTTCGTGTTTGTATCTTTGCTTTTTAAGTGTTGGTGCATTTTTTTTTTCTCAATTATGACCATATAGTGAACTTCTAAAGGAGGTTGTATTATGCAGTTAACATCTTACCTTAAAAACAACTGTCAGATGCTCATTTTCCCTTTCCTTGATTGAAATTTTCAATTATCTCATGTTGACTGTTCCCAAGTAACAGTTTTTTTTTTTTGCCCTTTTTCCTCAGGTAATAGCTGAAAGCTTGTCTGAGGAAGAAATTGCTGGTTTGAGAGAGATGTTTAAGGCAATGGATACAGATAACAGCGGTTCAATTACATTTGATGAACTCAAAACTGGTTTACGAAAATATGGCTCTACCTTAAAGGATACAGAAATACGGGACCTTATGGATGCGGTAAGATGATTGTCTCCAAATAGATTTGGTCTTTCTTGCATGTATGCATTGTGGTGTGCTTTCTTCATTTTAGAAGATGAAAACGCACATTCATATACAAACTGTCGCGTTGGTATGCAATCTGGTGGCATCAATTTTTTTTTGTTGATAGGAAACAAAAATGTCAATAAAAATGTAGAACAAAAATACAAAAGAAAATCCATGGTGGACCAGTAGTCCAAACCAAAGTCACCACAAAAAAAGAAAAAAAATCAACAAAGAAAGTAAAGCTATACTCCACATGATGCTATCCAGCTAGAGGTTATACAAAAAAGAGGAATATCTTTCAATTCCTTAGACACGGAAAGCTAAAAAGAAGTCAAGAAATGAATCCGCTCTCAAGGACCTTCAATCGTATCAATTTTATCACCAAAAATCTGCACATTCCTTTCCTTCCAAATTGCCCAAGTGGTAGCAAAAAAAACACAAGCCCAAAGAGTCCTCCACCTTTTATAATAACCCCCTCTCATAACCTCCAAGTATATCATGGATCTCATATTTCTCGGTGCCACTAAACAAAGGCCAATAAAATTAAACAACATATTCCATATTGAAAGTGCAATGATACAGTGTAAAAAAAGATGATCCACATTTTCACTATCTCCCTTACACATCACACACCATTGCGGTTGAATTCAAACTGAAGGTCGCCTTTGAAGTACATCGTAAGTGTTAATTTTACCATATGCAATTATACACACACATATTTGCACCTTCAAAGGCACTCTAACTTCTCAAATCACTTTCGATGGAAGAAACAATGGAGTAGATGGATCATCAATTAAAGACTCAAAGAAAGATTTACATGAGAAAGCATCATTAGACTCAAGAAACCAACATCTTTTATCTAATCTATCATGGAATAATGAGACATCACTAAGCAAAGAAAGAAACTCCACCATTTCTAAGCATTCCCCGCCATTTGGATTCCTTCAAAAACCAAAATTCCATGATAAAGGATTTGAATAGGACTGAATAAAAAAAATAACCTTTTGTACATGAAACCTAGAATTTCGATAAAGTCGAGGAAAGGGACTCGAAAAAGAAGACTCCCCAACCCAAATATCCTCCTAAAAATGAATCTTACTTCCATCTCCCACAAGAAGCATAATCCATTGGGAGAAAACAGGTAACCCCTAAGAAATAACTTACGTTGACTTCGAAAACTACGTCTTTCTACCCCATTAGCATCTCACCCATTAGCATAGAAACCATATTTGCTCTTAATAATAGAACACCACAATGACTCTTGTTCCAAATGGAATCTCCAAAGCCATTTTCCAGCCAAAACAACATTTCTTTTTAGCAAATTTCCAACCAAAAGGTCTCCTTTAGCCTTGGATCTAGAAACCATTTCCTAGGATATCAAAGGATCCATTTTGTCCTCTCCATTCCCTTCCCATGAAATAAATAGTAATGCTATTCAACACAGACTGAACTGAAGTTAACTCCCCTAGAAAAAAGGGTTTTTCCACCCATCTAATCTCTTCACAACCTTTTCCATAACTGGGTCCCAAAACGACCTAGACATTGAATTTCCCCCTAAAGGAAGCCCCAAGTAGTTTAAAGGCCCACCACCCACAGAGCATGCGATCTCATGAGCCAACCTGTCAATCTTATCCTGACTAGTGTTAATGGCCACAATGGTGCTCTTTTCATGAATTTGTTATCTTGTGGCATCAATTTATTCATCGATCAAAACCACATTCATGTTGCATGGTAGCTGATGTTTGGTAGTTTTCAGGCTGATGTGGACAACAGTGGAACTATTGACTATGGAGAATTCATAGCTGCAACTATACACCTCAACAAAATAGAACGTGAGGAACATCTCGTGGTAGCATTTCGATACTTCGACAAAGATGGAAGTGGTTATATAACAGTTGACGAGCTCCAGCAAGCTTGTGTTGAGCATAACATGACTGATGTTTTACTTGAAGATATTATCAAAGAAGTTGATCAAGATAATGTAAGTCCTGATTTTCGAGTTGGAAGTCAGCTTATTTCCATTTATACTTATATTAATATAGCCTGTCAAAGAAGTTTTTCCAGATGCCTGAATAATACATAATTGAAAATTGATTGCTGAATAGTTCAGGTTGGTCATACTATATTTTGAGTTGTTATTTCTTGTCTCACATTGATAAAATAACCTCTCTCAGATGAATATTAGAGTCATGTAAGTCTTTGACCAATTCCCAATTGATTTTGGGTTGGAGGTTTTAGCATGGTATTAGAGTTGCACGTAGAGAGGGTTTGTATTTCTTTGATCTGGTATTTGATTTTCCTTTTGTTTGTGCCCAAGTGCACACTTGTTATTCTTTGGATTTTTTCTTCTGAATGTTCTGTTTATCTCTTCACGTTGCGATTTGGAGTCGTACATGTGGAGGAATGTTTGATCTTACCCCCACAATGCTAAAATAACTCCTCTCTAACTTGTATATGAGCCTTATTCAACTCAACATCCATTTGGAAATTGGTTTTGGATCGAATACTTTAACATGAATGACCTAAAAATTTTAAGCCTTGATCCACTGTTTGATGAGTATATGTATATATAATTGTTTTGAGGCCATGGGATGCTTAGGATTGACCATAGCAAGCCTCTTTCATATCCTGCAACGCTTCCAGGCACGGTTTTGTCGAGTCCCATTGAGGGGTGTGTGATGAAGGATGATACCATAATTTAAAATTCTCTCTCTCTCGGTCTCTCTCTGATACCTCTGTACACTTTAATATCAAGTCTGACAGAATAATTTGAGAAACTGTACAATCTTTAGCCTCAAATGACTGGGTTATATATTGGTAGTATTTGTGTCTCTTATGTATATCTTTAAGAGAACTCAATTCATTATGTAGGGATATGATTGAAACATTCAACCTGTCGAGGTGGCAAACATTAAAAATGTTTCCCTTGTTTGCATTATTTCAAATTGGATAGCTTCATGTGGAGTGTAGTTTTTTTTGTCCTTTTTCATGTTGTACTTCTTTACTATGATTTATCTTTGGCTTGGACGACTTGTCCACCTTTGACTAGTTCTTTGTACAATCTTTTACTTTTATATAATGAATGATATCATCGTCTCTTATCGAAAAAAATAAAAATTTGCAGGTTGTGTCCACAAAAATAAAAAAATT